TGGGGCGGCCCCCCGGCCACAGGGCGGCTGCCAGAGCTGAAGCCGACTGTTGTGTGGTGGCTTAGGGGGCTGGGGTTGTATACCCCAGCCCCCTGAACCGCCACACATCAGCTGGATTCTGTCCCGCTGGGCTACTGGCCAAGAGCTGCCTTGGGTAAGTGCCTCCCAGCCAAGCCTAGACCTGGCACCCCCACCCTGTCCTGCACCCCAATTCCCTGCTCCAGGCCACATTCCCTTACTGCACAGGTCGCAATCTCCTCCTGCCTCAAGTTATAACTCCTAACCCAACCATCAGCACATCCTCCTGTATCCCTCCTCCAGGGCAGAATCTTCTCCTGCACCCATACCCCCTCCGTACCTGGCAGCCCCTCCCTCCCTGACAACCTAGACTCCCCACCAAGCTGCCCACACCTAGAGTGCACCACATAGAACCCTGTATTCTTGAGGGAATTGTATACTGAAAATTTTTGGGAAGTTTTGCATATTTTAATTGTCAAAACAACACCCACGACAATTATAATCACACCATTTTCAATTATTTTAGTAATTTATTTCAAAATACCTGTCAGCAAATAATTGGAAATGGTGTGATAGTTATTTTGAAAATAAAATATGCAGAATTTTAAAATTGTGTGCAGAATATTTCATTTTTGGCACAAAATTATCTCAGGAATAAATATTGGCTTTTAAATCTTATTTAAAATAGCTACTGGAGTTCTAAGTAAAAACTTAAGTCCCAGTTCTCTTCACTAACTCTTCATCCTGAGCCTTCATTACTCCACTTATAGGAATGAAGTACGTATTTGATGTTTTTATTGAAGTTCAACTTTATAAATTTGAATCATTGAAGAAGCTGCCATTTAATTTTACTTCTTGACAAACCAAGAGCTGATTTGTCACTTGCATGTTTAAAGTACATCCCTAGTATAAACACTAGGGATGTTTAAGTGTAAACGTCTAACCGTTTAACCAATAAGTGCATGCTTATTGGTTAATGGTGTTGGTTGTACACAGAGAAGCCTTCTTACCAGGAGTTGGGCAGGAAAGGGCTGCCTGCTCTGCTCCCGGGAAGGAGGCTTCGCTACTGGCTCCTGTCTTGGCAGTGAAACCCCCTCCCTGGGAGTCGGGCCAACAGGGACTAATGGCCCCACTCCCGAGGAGGCTTTGCTGCTAAGCTTTATGCCGTCGAGTCTGCAGCACCGCTAACTGTTGAGATTTCACCTGCATATGCACTGCATGGACAAGTGTGTACTCCTCAAAAGTTGTGTAGTACAGGATATTGGAGAGGATGGGCTGGGATTCAATGAATATAAAACTTTCTATACTAATTTTGAAATTCTAGGTTTCTTGATACCCTCAAGAAGCAAACGGTTTCTATGTGTAGCCACTTGTTTTTCTGTCTTGTTTTAGTCTAGGGGATGGCTGGATAAGATGCAAGAGCTGGAGGACACGCTGGCTAAGGAAAGGGACAACTATCGTAGGATGCTCTCTGACAAGGAAAGAGAAATGGCAGAGATAAGAGATCAGATGCAGCAACAGTTGAATGACTATGAACAACTTCTGGATGTGAAATTGGCTCTGGATATGGAAATCAATGCATATAGGAAATTGCTGGAGGGTGAAGAAGAGAGGTAAAAATTATGTTCCATTGAATATTGTTGGTGTCTTTTGAAAAACTTTAAGTAAATCTCAAGAGAGCTTTTTTGTTGAGAGACTCATTTAAATGCTTCAGGGTCTTTTACTACATATGTCCATATTTCCAAAAGTAAGAGGCCCTGTGCAGCCCCATGTAAGATGTGTGACTTCTTCTATTAATATTCTCAGAAGCTACTAAGTGCTGATTTAAAGGAAAGATGTGATAAGAGGAGATGAGCAAATCTACAAACTATTCCTGCAAAGCTTTACTTTTTATTAGCAGTCTTTAATAGTACACGTGTAATAGAAGAAAATGCTTAGTATTAGCAGGTTTTTTTAAATACGGAGGTGAGGCCTTTTGAAAGTAAGGGGAAGGTGGCAGTATTGCTTATTTTGTTAGTCTGACTTATGGAATAATATTCAAACTCTCTTGGGGGACGAGGTGACAAATGTATGTGGTGCTGACAATGGATGCTTGTTCAGTCAGCCCATCCATAAGGAAACACAAATTGTGCTTTTTTCAGTCTAGGAATACTCTGGTGAAATGTCTCACGGGGGTAACTGTTAGTCTATAATGTTTTTAAAAAGTTAGTAGTCCTGTACCACCTTAGAGACTAACAAATATATATAAAATCAAGAGCTTTCATGGGCAAAAACCCACTTCCTCAGATGAGTCAAGTGTGGTGAATTGATATGTATATCTTCTTCCTCAAATCCAGGTTGAAACTATCTCCTAGCCCATCTTCTCGGGTGACAGTCTCTCGAGCATCATCAAGTCGTAGCATGCGCACAACCAGAGGAAAGCGGAAGAGAATTGACGTGGAAGAATCTGAAGCCAGCAGTAGTGTTAGCATCTCCCATTCAGCTTCTGCTACTGGAAATGTCTCTATTGAGGAGATAGATGTGGATGGGAAATTCATCCGCTTGAAGAACACTTCTGAGCAGGTTTGAAATCAAAATAATATGCCATCATTTTGTCTTTTAGGCTTCATATTATGTGCCAGAACCCAACAGTGTTGTACAAATGCATGGCTCTAAGTTTCAGCATTAAATTAATGATCCAACATGACCTCTTAACCAACATTTTGGTGTTGGAGGCATTATAACATGTGCAGCTGAGGTTCCTAAACACTTAATCATTTAAGACAGCTTGACACTTATTAATAGTCACATGTCTAGACTCTGAGCCTGCATGTAGTAAGAAATGCTCCTTGCTTCAAAGACTTTACTATCAAAAGTGACAAGGGTAACAAAAAACCACCCCCTTCATTTACAGATGGGGGAACTGAGGCACATAGTTGAAGGTGCTATCTGTGTAGCTGTTGCTGCACTTCAAAGATGAAAGCGTTGTGGGGAGCATAGGACCAGTGGGGAACCCAGGGCTGCATGTGGTGTTTCAAAGCAGCAGCATCTGTGGAGCCTTTGGTCAGCTGGGGACTCCCCCAGCTAGCCCCGTGCTGCACACGGCGTTTCAAAGTGGCAGCGCCACATGGAGCCTGGGGTCTGTTCCCAGGCTCCACACAGCACTGACGCTTTGAAGCACTCCCTCCTCCCGCTATGCTGCCTCTTTCTGATAGGCAGCAAGGTGGAGAGGCAACTATTGAGTAGCCCATCAACTATCTGATAAGCATTTGCTTATCTGGTAGTCAACTAGTCATTCATATTCCTACTATGTAGGCACTTGCCTCAATTGCACTCATCCAGTGTCCAGCTTTCAGTGCAAAATCCTAATTTACACGGCCAAAGCCATTATTTGCACCAGTAGTTTGCTGCTGCTCAGAACTGGGAGTAAACTGCCCCAGTCACACCATATGGCTCCTTGTGTCAATACTAGAGTATTGTACTGATCTAGCTACACTGGCTAGCCACAAACGACTGAAATCATGCTAGATCCAGACTGTAGACAAGACATGCTCATGGTTGTGCAGAAAGTCTGTCAGAGCTAGAAACTGAACCTAGATGTGAGTTGCATGAGAATGCCATGTCTACAAAATCATGCTGTTTCTCTTCAAGCACAATTGCCAGAATGGTACTCAACTTGGCTTGTAGCTTAGATGTGTTTAGAATGAGTGTGTGTGCATCCAGCACTGGCACCTGATGTCAGCAATGGATCGAAAACACTTGTGCCTTCGCTTTTCCATCTTTTACATGGAGATACTCCTTTTCTCCTCCAAAGGTGTGATAAGGCTAAATACATTTTTTTTTTTATAAAAAGAACTTTGAGCTTCTCTGGAAAGAGCTATAGTAATGCATAGTATTATCTTCAAAAGAGAAACGACCAAACTTCAAACTAATTACTGCAGTCTGGCCTAGTGTCCCTGTCTTCAGTCTGTTGCGACTGGATCCTGTTGTTGAGTTCCCTCATGCTTTCAAGCTACCTAGCTCTGTGGAGCATCTAGTCATTTCCTTGCTCTGAGTATGTAGGGCATGGATGAGACCTCTTGCCTGAAGCTCTTCCTTGGGACATGGAGCAAGTAAGCTCTAGCTCTGCTCAGCTGTCCTAGAACCCAGAAGCAGAGCCTGAGACTTTTGAAGCCCTCCTTAGAACTCTGCCTAGGCTGTGCACATTACCTGGGTTCTGGTTTGTCTGATTGAGATCATTGTGGTAAGAGAGCAAAAAATACAGGCTTAAAAAGCAATTTCTTAAACGCAGACTTTAATAATAAAGTAAATAGTAAAAGT